ATTCACAAACCTGCGGAAAAATGCAAGTTTCGTCACTTTGATTATTTTGACGAGAGCCTGATTCCACCACGCTGCCTCACAAATGATTTTTCACTACCTCAGAATTACAAAGTTCTATCTGCTCAGTACCTAGTTTTGAGAAATTTGACGTCAAAGATTTTGAGTTTCACATCATGTCAAGCTTGTTCGAATGTAATTCTTTGAATATCTTGATAACGTCTCCGAATAATCTTACCATTTTGATAGAGCAAGACAGAACGTTTGGTTTTTAACCTCATGGTCTTAACTCTTTGCGGACGCGCATTCTGCTCATTCGAACGCTTGATCTGAAGACACGATATTCGGGAATACTAAAAGAAGCATTACCTCGTGATTCATACGCAGTTTTCAATCCTGTTTCCTTTATCTGGTACTCAAAAATACAGATAACATTGATGTAAACAATGATATATTATGTAAGCTTGTATTTCTAGTGTGCATGGAGGTTTGAAATATCCCTCAACTTTGCTTTTGATCTGCTGTTGTCGGACTTATGTGTCCGCTTCGTATTAGATGAGTTAATAACCCCAAAACGGACAAAAATGCCAGACCGAACTTTGGAATTCCGAGGTATTTTATTGTCAAAACTTGATGTGGAGACTGACAATATTCGAAACGCTCTTGTTACCTCCACAATTATGGCTACACCCTGCTTTAGCTGTTCTGAAAAACAAAACTTAAAAGATTCTTTTTTTCAAAACAACAGACAGTTTTGTAACCAAAAAATATTTCCAAGGTATCAAAACCACAATCACAAAGCGTTCATTACGTAATCATTATTATGATAACATGTGAGTAATCATAATATGAAGACAACATCATGGAAACAAAGTGATATCGTATATATATATAACATAGTAAAGAGATACTATGTACAAAGTACACTATTTACAGAAACTAAATAATATACATAATCTGTACAACATTGTCACAATATATCACAAGTCATTTCATCTTCTCTCCAGGAGGTATAAAGATAGATAAAACGTGTCTTGAGCCGCCACAGCTGATTATCACTGCAACAGTAAGCTCCTTTCAAACATGTCTTCTTAATAGAGAGGCCATTGAGGTATCAGTGAACTCTGACGTTGAAACGTTCATCACAACACAACGTTTAGGTCAGCTGCTACCCGTAGCTTAGAAATCTCAACACCACTTCAATGATGAAAGTCGTAGCTAATCAGAAATCCAAAACGTTCCTTGTCGCAACAACGGGTAAATACGAGCACTTCCTTCTTATAGGCGGTGCTATCTATAAGCCCTGGCCTTTTCGGTATAAGAAGTGACGTACGTGTATAATCCACCCCTACTCCCATTTTCACACCAATGTCGTCGCGAACAACACCGATTACAGCGCTGTGTTTTCCACTCCTGTAGGACATACCTGCAAACATGGGCGTGGCGTTGATGGGTGGTCTGGTGTGGTTTGCTCCTTCTTTCCCATCAAACATCTGTCGTCCATATCTCTCTCTCTCTCTCTCTCTCTCTCTCTCTCTCTCTCTCTCTCTCTCTCTCTCTCTCTCTCTCTCTCTCTCTCTCTCTCTCTCTCTCTCTCTCTCCCCTCCTTTTCGTTTGTGTTTGTTACTCTCTTGTAGCACCTCTGATGGTAAGCTCTTATAATATCTTTCTTGTGTTGCAAGTGCCGTAAAACTCTCACTAAAACTGAATTTTAATACCTGCAACCGTAAAGTGACCCAACAGTGACCCCCACACGGCTCACTCCTTCAGAGACGTTTGACAAGTAGTTTTGGGAGGGATGGGTTACTTCTGCCGATTCTCGACGACCTGTTTCAAATGAAAACTTGATGTACTGAGGCTGGGATTAAAGACTCCTGAGTGAGTCGTTGGCGGGTGCTCTGGTGTGGTTTGCTCCTTCTTTCCTATCAAACATCTGTCATCCTGATCTCTCCTACTTCTTTTTTGTGTTTGTTACTCGCTTGTAACACCTCTAATCTTCTGCACTTATATGACCTTATTGTGTTGCAAGTGCCGTAAAACTCTTACTAAAACTAAACTAAAAGACCCCTGAGGTATCGTGTATGAGATCACTGAAGGCACCGTCGTGTACCACCAGAGGACGGTGAATATTGTCTTGTAACATTGAAGTCGTATCCTTGGAGAATATCATCAGTACTATCACATCTATTTGTCGGAATTTGTCACCACAAGAGACATTAAAAACATTGCAGACAACACTGAGCTGTGTTTTTTGTCTGATGTTTGTCAATTGGGTTAATTGAAGAGTGTCCACAATAAACGAGACAAAGTATTCTCCCCATACAAAAGCTAAAGTATATCAAGATCCAAAAGTGAACTCTGCTTAAACTTAGATGGCTGGTGTCTCTATAAACACATGGTTAGCGGTTCAAATGTAGATTCTCCTGGAAGAAATGGCATGGAAATATCAAACATGTAACCAGGAATCAGATTCTGCTAGACACACCGTTATACCTTCCTTGATTCCAAACGCATTGATCATGTCTCTTATTTGGAGAATATTATGAGGGGAGTCAAGATCTGAAAGGAGGGAAGTAGAACTTGGCCAATCTTCTTCCTCGAGATCTACTGCCCAAGGAAACGTTGTATCAAGCATACTACACTGCTTACGATTGTCTGTCAACGTGCAAAAAGGCCAAAGTTTTGTCTCGGTTAGACAGTCACTTTTAACCAATGTAAGTCTCTTTGTACCAGAAGTGTAGCCTTTGGTGAGGAAATGTAGAAGGAAATGGAGTAAAAAAAGCAACCAAAAGAAGCGTGACGTGTGGCAATCTCAGTAAGAAAAATACACTAACCGTACGTTCAGCCTGTACCGAGGACACATTGCCGAGAGAATTCATTTGGCTGAGTTGTTGACAGACAGAATGTTCACCATGGAGGGCAAACCCCCCCCCCCCCCCC